GCTGTTTCCAATCTGAATCACAGGCCCTACATAGTTTTGGCTAAGGTTCACTCGGGTATTGACACTCTCCTTTTACGCTCTAACTTTTGCCAAAGCTTCGAAGAAGTAAAGATAAAGCGAGGCAGCTGATGGTAAAGTCAGGCAACGAAACTGTGTGCAAATGAAGCCGGTTGTAAGAAAAACTGAGAAAATGCTACTCTCTCTCTTTTTGGTTTTTATGTAGTTTTTTTTTGTTTTTGTTTTTGTTTTTGTGTCTCTGTGATCGGGGATGTGTCCTCCCCTGACTGCAAAAATCAGTTTAATTTTTGCACATCGATGGCGTAACTGGCATATCACTTTGAACTTGAAAATATTTTTGTTTGATTGAATTTGAGAGTGATTGAATTTTGAACTCTGAATTGAACATTGATTCTATACTGACCTGAATCAAAGAATGACTTAACGAAAGAAGAACAAAGCAAAAAAAATCCAAACACACTTATATACACGGACTGGTATGAATACACCGACTGGTATAAATATACTGACTGGTATGAAAGGAACACCCTTATATACACTGACTGGTATGAATACCTTGATTGGTATGAATACACACTTATATATACTGAAGAGTTGACTCGAGTGGTGGAGAAGACAGAATCTCTAACTCGACTATGCCCCTAATTCATTACCTTGAATTTTTTTTTTTATTTTTTTATTTTTTTTGATTTTTTTTTTCATAAAAATGTTTTGATCAAAATGACAGTTAGATTAGCATACTTATTCCATTTTCTGTTTCAAATCATGTAAGCTAAACTGTGAGCACTGAAAATTTTCCATTTTCAAATCCAACGAATGGTCTAAGTTTTACAAAAATGGAATGACTGGTATGAAAGGAACACCCTTATATACACTGACTGGTATGAATACCTTGATTGGTATGAATACACACTCACATATACTGAATAGTTGACTCGAGTGGTGGAGAAGACAGAATCTCTAACTCGACTATGCCCCTAATTCATTACCTTGAATTTTTTGATTTTTTTTTTATAAAAATGTTTTGATCAACATGACAGTTAGATTAGCATACTTATTCCATTTTCTGTTTCAAATCATGTAAGCTAAACCGTGAGCACTGAAAATTTTCCCTTTTCAAATCCAAAGAATGGTCCAAGTTTTGCAAAAATGGAACAATTTTTGAGAAAAATTAGTCAGCTTCATTCAAATTAATCAAAACCTATTTTTGCAAATGGCCACTACTCAATTAACATGGAATCAACCATTGGGGTGCATAGTCCCAAACCAGATAATCAAAGGTGATATCTGAACCAAGCCAACCGAACCAAGCCAATCCGAACCGAATGAAGTCGAGCAAAACTGGACCAGACCGAACCGAACCGCCAAATCGAATCGAACTGAACCAAGTTAAATCAAACCAATTGAACAGAGCAGAATGAAGATACACCAATCAAACACGGATAGGACAACCAAGTCGACTAAAGGCACACCAAGCAAACATGGACGAGATGAATGAGTTGAAAAATTATTAGGGCCGAACCTCAAGATGAAGCTACCTACGTATCCTCAAGATAGGAATCAGGCCATCGTAGTTCCGGATTGAGGGTCACTCGGGTACTGACACTCTCCTTTTGTGCTCTAACTTTTGCCAAAGCCGCCCTTTCGGGTTTTCAACCTTGCGAGCTTTTCATTTTTTCATTTTTTTATTTTTTTTCATTTTGTTCATTTCTTTTTTTTTTGTTTTTCATTATTTTTGTTTTTTTGATTTTTTTTTTCTGCTCTAAATTTTGCCTGGGTTGCCCTTCCAGGTTTTCAACCCAACGAGCCTCTCAAGGATGATACTTTTATTTTAGCTTGTCCATGTTGATTGGGTGTGAAATCTCTAGGCCAATGACTGCTACACTTGGCCAGTAGATATGATGATGTAGGGACTAGGCTAATTGGGTCTGAATTTGCCCCTAGTGTAATGGATAGGAACTCGACTGTCCTTCAATAATAAAATTCATTCTCTCAAATTCTGGGTTTTGCCTTTATGGGTGATCTTCATTGGGAAACGATTCAGTTTTAACTCTTTGATCACATCCAACCTTTTGCCCCTAGTTCAAGGACTGCTTCAAATCTTAAATCACATCCGACCTTCTTGCCCCTGGTTCAAGGGTTGTTTCCAATCTGAATCACAGGCCCTACATAGTTCTGGCTAAGGTTCACTCGGGTATTGACACTCTCCTTTTACGCTCTAACTTTTGCCAAAGCCGCCCTTTCGGGTTTTCAACCTTGCGAGCTTTTCATTTTTCTTTTTATTTTTCCTTCTTTTTTATTTTTTATTATTATTTTTTTTTTGTGCTCTAACTTTTGCCTAGGTCGCCCTTTCGGGTTTTCGACCCAGCGAGCCTCTCAAGGGTGGTACCTTATTGCCCCTAGTTCAAGGGCTACCTCCATTTCAGCTATGCAAGCCTCATACTTTTGCCCCTAGTTCAAGGGCTGCCTCCATTTGAATCACATCATGGCCCCTAATTCAAGGGATATTTCCAATTCGGCTACGCAAGCCTTACACTTTGAATGATCATTGAATACTTCGAATTAAGGTTTGAAAGCTAAGGAGCTAAGGAGGTCGGACCTCGAGTCAAGAGGGATCTTATGCTGTATAATCAATTCCAAGCATGTCTTCGTGGATAGGACCTCGACTGTCCTTCAATAATAAAATTCATTCTCTCAAATTCTGGGTTTTGCCTTTATGGGTGGTCTTCATTGGGAAACGATTCAGTTTTAACTCTTTGATCACATCCAACATTTTGCCCCTAGTTCAAGGGCTATTTCCAATCTAAATCATATTCGACCTAATTGCCCCTAGTTGAAGTTATCTCCATTTGAATCACATCATGACCCCTAGTTCAAGGGCTATTTCCAATTTGGCTACGCAAGCCTTACACTTTGATTGATCATTGAATACTTCTAATCAAGGTTTGAAAGCTAAAGAGCTAAGGAGGTCGGACCTCGAATCAAGAGGGATCCCATGCTGTATAATCAATTCCAGGCATGTCTTCGTAGGACCACGTAAAAATGGTTTTTTGAAATCTTTTCACAAAGTGACTAATCACTCGTACTCTTACGAAGACAAGATAGAACCAATTTGGACCAAGCCAGGATCTTTCTCAGTACCCGCATTAACAAAAATGATTTTATTCATCAAAGGCTTAGCACACCTCTCTTTCTCTCAGTTGATCAAAATTTGCAAATCCTGAGGAAATGTTTCCTCTTTGTTTTTATCAGAGTTTTGGAAAAAGTTTTGAAAAACTTTGGTCAATGCTATGATTTAAAGGCACAGAGAAGTAGGCAGACTCTATGGCTTTTTTGTTTTAATTTGCCCCGAACATTAATATACAAGTCAACAAGGCACAAGGCACAGAGAAGTAGGCTTTTTTTTTTTTTTTTTTTTTTGTTTATTGAAAAGAGACTATGATTCAACAATGGCAACAAACTTTTAACAATAGACTCAAAAGAAAATGACAAAGAAGACCTAGACAGGACAGAAATGTCTAGGTTAGCACTATCGAAATCAATAGACTGACTCTCTAGAATGACTCGAGTCTGATCCCAACTCTACAAACTTTGTGGAATCAAACTTAGACTGAATACTCAGTTCAGAACTCAAAATAAAACCATTCTCAAATTGCCTATCCACGTGTGGGCCATTCGCAATATTCAAAATAAAACCTGTCCAATCAACAGGTGGTCACTCCCCAATCACAGAGATGGTCGGATACCCCACAAGTTCTATTTATTTACAATGGTCGACTTTGTGGGATATTGGAGTTTTTTTTTATTTTTTTTTATTTTTTTTTTGATTTTTATGTTTTTGTTATATTTTTTTTTTTTGGAAGTAATGATGCTAAACTGAACATCCTGAACCACTCATTCAAATTTGAGAACCCCTGTATAGATCCAATACATTGCACATAAAGCAAGAAAGAGAACAAACACCCCTGAAGAGGGTAGGGTTATCCTGTCCTAGCTTGGAATGATCTAGGGTTTCACTATTCACACAAGCGGTATCATACATCCTAGAAACGGGAAAGCATCCTGTCCTAATTTGAAAGGTACTATAGCTCACCATATGTACAAGGTTTGCTCTACTTTACGGGTTGAAGCCAAGGTGACGTTACCAAAGAGTCCTTTGGGTCATAACCAATAAAGATCCCAGGAAATCAGAAGAGTCAAATAGCCTCTCTTCGGAGTCTGAGAACCTTAGATAGCAAAGCTAGATAGCAGGGCTACATAGCAAAGCTACCCTTTTGACAAATCTCAAAAGGTTACAACACAAGGCCTCTAAAGTATCGTAAAAATAGGTATAGTGTCACAAAAAGCTTACCTGTGCTCCCACCAGTATCTGGGCAACACAAGGACTTGAAGTGCACCAATGAATGCAATGCAATGAACATATAATTGAAAATAAAGGTCATATCATGGAGTTCGAGTCAAGGTTTCATAAAATCCCCAGCAGAGTCGCCAGAAACTGTAACATGCCCGGGGGGTACCCGCGCGCGTTAAACAGTTCGGACCCCCAAGATCTCTTTGATCTATTCTCACGAGTGCAATGTGAAACATAGATGAGAGTCCAGATTTGGCAACTTTTATTGAAAATCCATTTTATTGCAATTTTGTCAAAAATGGACTGCGTCATCAGATCTCAGAGTCGCCACCTAATATTTATTTTGGGAAAATTAGGAAACCCATAACTCGTGCCAAGGCCACTGTTCGTCGTAACCAAGGATGCTTGGCTCGGAACCTTAGGTATGAGAGGGGAAGGTCAATAATGAGCACCCCCGCCCACCCGATCAAAGATCGGCCTTTACTAACCACGATATGAATTTTATTTTATTTATATGTTCATGTTCTGATTAATTAATAAATCCTAAAATTTACTATGTGAAGCATACAAGTATAGACTATGCCATTCATTTTGGAACAATTTGATATCATGCATTTTGAAAGAGTTTTGACGATGTACAACCCAAATAAATTGAGTTTACAAGCATGAAAAATCAACATCATTCCAAATTAAGCGACACAACCTCCATCCACTGGCATTCATAGAGTTATATCACATAAGCAACTAGCCTCATGGTAGAATGCTAGACATAGTAAGAAAAATACACACACACGGGATGCTAAAGCATAAAAACTCACATGTTTGACGTCCCACGAACAAGCTGCAAAACAAAGTTAGTAAAATATGCATGATCTTATATACAAAATCCTAATGCAATTCACTCATGAGATGCAACTAAAGATTCGGCTTCTAAAATATGATATGTGAATCATCTCAAGAACATGAGGTAGCGCACATAATCACATAGGAATTGATTAAATCCACAAATGCAAACTTAGCCGAATCAAGATGCATGAAACATGGATGCAAAGCATAACTATGATGAAAAATAAATATGATGTTTATGTACAAATAAAGAAAGCAAGTAAAAGAACGGGATAGAAAGAAGCGGGGCGGGGAATTATTACAACACTCTGAATAAATTATTACAAACCAGATAAGAGAGAGAGAAAGGAATAGTACAACAAAATAAAAACCTCACAAACTCTCAAAATAAAATAAAATAAAATAAAATAAAATAAAATAAAATAAAATAAAATAAAATAAAATAAAATAAAATAAAATAAAATAAAATAAAATAAAATAAAATAAAATAAAATAAAATAAAATAAAATAAAATAAAATAAAATAAAATAAAATAAAATAAAATAAAATAAAATAAAATAAAATAAAATAAAATAAAATAAAATAAAATAAAATAAAATAAAATAAAATAAAATAAAATAAAATAAAATAAAATAAAATAAAATAAAATAAAATAAAATAAAATAAAATAAAATAAAATAAAATAAAATAAAATAAAATAAAATAAAATAAAATAAAATAAAATAAAATAAAATAAAATAAAATAAAATAAAATAAAATAAAATAAAATAAAATAAAATAAAATAAAATAAAATAAAATAAAATAAAATAAAATAAAATAAAATAAAATAAAATAAAATAAAATAAAATAAAATAAAATAAAATAAAATAAAATAAAATAAAATAAAATAAAATAAAATAAAATAAAATAAAATAAAATAAAATAAAATAAAATAAAATAAAATAAAATAAAATAAAATAAAATAAAATAAAATAAAATAAAATAAAATAAAATAAAATAAAATAAAATAAAATAAAATAAAATAAAATAAAATAAAATAAAATAAAATAAAATAAAATAAAATAAAATAAAATAAAATAAAATAAAATAAAATAAAATAAAATAAAATAAAATAAAATAAAATAAAATAAAATAAAATAAAATAAAATAAAATAAAATAAAATAAAATAAAATAAAATAAAATAAAATAAAATAAAATAAAATAAAATAAAATAAAATAAAATAAAATAAAATAAAATAAAATAAAATAAAATAAAATAAAATAAAATAAAATAAAATAAAGAAACTTCATGTGCG